GGGTACCAAGGTACCCTTAATGTTGGGAAACCCGAGGTAACAGCAACCAAGATTCGTTCCATCCTGCCAGCAGACCTGCCAGCCTGGAAAGCTTGTGCAGCTGAGGCAACCGCCAGAGTTCTGCCGCCAAGTGCTTCTCAAAAGATACCGGGGACATATCCCCACAAGAGCTCTGCGAAGAGGGCAAGACCTGAACAGTGTGAGAACTTCATCCTGCTCTATGCGAGGGCAATATCCTTGTCATGCCCCTATAAGAAAACATAAGACAGCCCTGCAAAAGGTCGTCATATGAGTCATATGTTTCAGACAACCATCTGCACACCTAAACCCTATACCCCTAAACCCTAAATCCGAAATCCTAAACCCTAAACCCCTTAACCCCATGAACCCCTAAACCCTAAACCCTATGAACACCTGGCCTTCAAAGTTCGAAGGAAGGCCTCCGAGCGCTCATCGTCCTGGGAGACCAGCTGTTCCTTGGCTCTTTTAGGGAAATGGAAGAGAAAGTGAAAACCACCGCATGATGTAGAGTTTGGGGTAAGGGAATATGTTAGGAGTTCGTTTTGTAGGGTTTAGGGTTAGTATAGGGAATAAGGGAATATTTTGTAGGGCCTGGGGTTTAGTATCTAGGATTTAGGGTTTAGGGGCTTCAGGTTCAGAGGTTTGCTTCCTCATGGTTAGTAGGCAGTGAAAGAAAAGGATGTAGAGAGTACCGCAAGGGGAAATTTCAGACTACTGTAAGGATCTGATTTTGTATTCCCTAAAAACCACAAGTTTGTCGGTTGGTTGTAGGACCATCGTGGTCCCAAAGCCTGAAATGGGCCATATTGGGGCCATTTTTGTATGCAGTCGCCACTTAGAGAAAGGTCCGTTGAGGTCGTCTTCTTTCGCCGGTTGTTAGTTGAGGGTACCTTTAACATACCAATGCGTGCAAAACGTGTTCTATTAGCACTGTTGGGTTGAAGAACAGTAAATCTAACTCCAAACCAGAAACACTAATCCGCACATCGAACAACTAGAACCCTAATCCTCAACCCTATGACCATAAACCCTGAAATCTTGCTAACTATCCATTTCAAGGTTCCAGCAGGGCCCTGAGCCCTACCTGCGCTTTGTAACCTGCGGGTTTCTCAAACAGGCGTACCCAGGCACCGGGGAATGGGTCAACAATTTAGGGGTCAATTTTGAGTGGTCTCTGTAAAAAGGATGATGGTATTTGGGGTCTATACCAGAGTCCCCAGTTTTATGGCAACTACATGCAACTACAATGTCTATCTTAAAGTCTTAGGGCTGGGATTTGGGATTTAGGGCTATCTAGAACTAGTAATTATTGTCAGGAAACAGCTATGTGGGTGCTGGGGCTATGGTGTTAATGAAGGAACTCTTGCATCACCTCAGACACCTAAACTAACAACAACTGTTTTACTGCCATGTTGGGTCATACACCCAATACAAACTCATCCTCCCCCAATATTAACTCCCCCCACCCGCCCTAATATTAAATACTCCCCATTATGGAATACTAAACCATGTTGGGAGTACTTAATATTAGGGGGTGGGGAGATTTCATATTGGGGGGAGGGGGTTACAGTTGAAGGTGAGCTCATGTGAGGTCGTTCTAATTTGCCCAGTCCCTACGGGGCTCTGGTAAGCATATGAGCTGTAATCTAAACTCCTAGTATCCCCCTTAAGAAGCCCCATAATACTCCCTCTAGAATCCCCTATAAAACCTGTTTGAGAGTTTAGACTATAGCTTATCTGTTGACAGACTCCTGCCTCTCAAAGAGAGCATGTCTGGCCCATCTGGTCCTCCATAAATCCAGGTGTTGTTGATCCCGCAGTCATGCCCCGTGCTGTGCAGGTAGGATAAGGTCTTCACGATGCCCCCAGGCGACAGCAGTGGAACAGGTAAAGGTTCCGCATAGCCTGGGCTGCTGTGAAGGAACGTAGTTCAAGTCACCATCATAACGAACTCCTCTTTGCTCTGGAAAATATGTTTACACACACATATATATATATATGTATACAACATAAACCCATATTATATCATGTCATGGTAACTTGCTTAGGGTTTCATTTATATATAGCCCATATGAAATTACAGGATGGTAACTTGATTAGGCTTCTGAACCCTAAACCCTAAACCATAATTAGGTTCTTAACCCAGTAGCGGACAAGACCCAGGTTCTTGACGGATTCGCAAATCGTGTCGTTCCCACCACCTGGTTGCCCTTAAGGATTATATTATACAGCGGCTATATACGGGTTTATAGTTTAGGGTTTTACGGTTTGGGGGTTTAGGGTTTGGGGTTTGGGGTTTAGGGTTTGGGGTTTAGGGTTTAGGTTATATAGGGGCTATATAGGGATCATGGAAAAGAAAATGGAAGCTACTATTTAGGGAACGTAGCTGAAGCTACTGTGAGAAGGAAGCCTTTCCATGACCCTCCACGAACCCTTTATTGGGGCCCTATGGCCCCTGGTAGTGTGTATGTAGGCCCAAGTAGAGGGTAGTTGGAGGGTCAAGGTTTATATAACCCCCCAGTCGTTTCCATTATCCCGATATGGCCCCTATCTAACCTAAACCCTAAACCCTTAAACCTTTAAGCCCCCAAACCCTAAATCCCAAAAACCTAAACCATAAACCCGTGTATAACCCCGAAAAATAGCAACCGAGCCACCAACTCGAAGCAGTTCGCAAGTGGCGTCGGCCGACTCAAACACGGCCCTCCCCACCGCATGGTGCTTATCCTTGTCCAGCATTGGCAGCCTGGGTTGCTATTAGGGAGAATGGAAAAGAAAATGGAAACTACTATCTATAGGGTTTAGGATTTAGGGTTTAGGATTTAGGGCTTAGGATTGAGGGTTTAGGATTGAAGGTTTAGGATTGAGGGTAGGATTCAGGGTTTAGGATTGGGGGCTTCGGGTTTAATATATGGTCTAGAGTTTAGGGCTAAAGCCGCCCTGATGGAGAATCAAATGGAACAGAAAATGGAGAATCTCAGGTTTAGGGTTTAGGGTTTATGTAGGGGTCATGTCAATCCAGGAACTTGAGCCAAGCTACCAGTATATGCATACCTAGAACCTCCGCTTACCCTCTATGACTACCCCAAATGCCCACTGTTAGAGACCACAATATACCCCTTAGTGAAGGGTACAGGAATGTAGGTTCCTTACAATGCTAGCTTCATAGGTAAAGTTACTGGTTCCCAGTCAGGAATAAAGGAATATAATCCCTACATAATCCCTGTATAAAACATTCCCTTATTCCCTACTCACCCCAGACCCTAAAACTCTAAAATACATTCCCTTTTTCCTACCAACCCTAAACCCCCAAAAATATTCCTTTATTCCGTACTAGCCCCCAGTTCAGTTCCTCAAACCCTAAACCCTCAACCCTAAATCCCTAAACCCTAAATCCCTAAATCCCGACACTCCTAAATCCCTAGATCCCTTCATCCCAAGTAAGTTCAGTTCCCTAACAGCAACCCAGAAGCCCATGCTTCTGTGCAGCCCAGGCCGCAGGGCTGTCAAGGCCTCATTACTTCAATTAAAATTGCTTTAGGGTTTAGGGATTAGGATTTATGGATTAGGGGCTGGGGTTTAAGGTTGAGGGTTTAGGGATTCGGGATTACTATTATATTTACTTAATCTCTAATATTACCACTGTTTTTGCTATATTTGCGAATATTACTAGAATTCTATGACTATATCCATATCTATATGACTTAATACTACCATTATGAATTATTTCTACTATAATTACGGTTATTGTTACTATGATTTGCAATCATTGCTCGTATTAATTATGTCTAGTCTAACTATCTATTACGATTCTGACGATCATTACATGCATATCCTTAGGGTTTACCACAGGGGCTTAAATAATTACCAATATCATTTTGAGGTACATTTGAGGTACCGTATACTATAGTTATACAAGGAATATGGTACCATCATATTGGTAATTATTTAGGCCCGATATTTGGGCTCCAGGCCTTGAAAGTCAAGATTGACGAAGCGATTGTCAGATCTTGCTTTTGGCCAGCTGACCTCAGGGGGCTTCAGGCGGTAATTGACAAACACGTCTTTACAAGTCAAAGGGAAGCATGTGCTGGCATGGCAAACTGCCTAATTTGTTGAGAGGCCCTCATTTGTTGAGGGGCTACCTGCTCTCCCTGTCTTTCTCCCCATCGAATGCGCCTGCTGCTTCGAAAAAATGCTGAAGCTGGCAGCCGTGTCGAATCGCCCCGTCCAGGGATCCAAGAATAAGGCGACGGGGCGGTCTGGGATCGCACCCTTCGCACCGCAGATATCGTAGCGCGCCTGCAAAAAGGCACTCTCCCGGCACCGTGTGCCGGTTGCGATGAGGGCTACAGCTTCTTGGCCAGCATCATCCTCTGCGCCCCAATCAACATAGAAAGCCTGAGCTCCATGCAGGACAAGATGACCATCCTTTCTCCTGCGCAGTAATATAGCACGTTCGGTTACACAGGTTCTGTTCGATCCAAGATGCTTGGTCGGGTAGCAAAAGCATCACAACTAGCTGTAGCTTCACAAACTTGGACGGGTCATAAGGCGCGACCCGGACAGCAACGTTTCCTAGGCGATCAATGGAGAGGTTGCTATCCAGCACGGTGGCGTTTCCGTCTGCCTGCCCTAGCAGAACACCCAGAGCGTCATTGGGATCTGGAAAGCCTTGGTGGACAAGTCTCAAAGGATGGACTGTACTGCCCATGCTCCAGCCCAAGCACGACAGCTCTAGCGTAGAAACATCTTCCAAGAGGAAGCACCTCTATACTTACTATGCTACTGCCGTCCAAGACGCCACGGCGTAGCTGGATGGAGCCGGCCTCCGACTGGAAGATCTGCTCCCCAACCTACACAGAAAGGCCGCTTCATGCCGCTTCCAATCAAATTGAACCCCGAACCCCCAAACCCCCGAACCTCCAGGACCAGGGAGAAGCTCAGGGTCGCAGCTCGCCGCGCCAGTCGGGCTTCACGCCGCGGAACCGGAGCCTTCCCTCGGAGAGGTCCGTCCTGGGACACTCGCCCTGGCCAGTGCCAGTGTCTCGACAACCAAAGAGGTGCCCAGACAGCTTGCGCTGGACAGCTGACGGCGCAGGCCCAGATGTTGCCGGTTTAGTCAGGTTGCCCCGGATGAAGAAGCAGCCGAAGTCGCTGAAGAAGTAGTCGAAGCAGGTGGGGCTGTGCTGGCACTTGGTGGAGCAGTATGTGCTGTTCGCATCAGCCCGCTTGAAGTCCGTCCACAACATTCGCTCGCCTTCGTCATTTTCTTGGACGGGGAAGTCCAAAAAGAAGTCCGAGAGGCCCACGGACACGTCGAAGTTGTCCAAGCCTGACATCTTCAGGAGTCTCTATGCTGTAGGGCTTCTTGACGAGTCAACATCCGATCATTTGAATCCCAGATCTGCCCGAATACCTTCGTCTTGCTTTTTGCATTTAGCTGTATTTAGCTCCTACCCGCCGTGCCTTCTGGCACGCTGATGGTGGACCCCGGAAGGGTCGACCAGGCCACTTTCCGCTTGAAATCGCTGGACTCGATTTCCACTGACGTGGGCACCGTGGTCAGCGGAGTGAACCGGACCTGCAACCACAAACGCTTGTGCCATACTGCTTTTATATGTATCTTATATTATGTTGCAGTCGCCCTCTAGCACTAGCTTTTTTCGGACGAGGGGGACCTGGCCTGGTAGGGTGTGGGATCCAGGGATGGTCTCAAGCCCTGTACATCCACATGCGCCACACGAGGAACGTGGCGCTGATCGAGATGGATCTCGGCCACAGGGGCGCTGGAGCCTTCGCCAACCAGCACATGCCGAGGGGTGTCTTTTGATGCCAAGGGCTGCGTGAAGTTGATCCTTGTGTGCAAAACCACTACCAGAAAAGGAGGGCTTACAGCTATCATTGAGGTTGTCATGGCTATCATAGAATGGAAGGGGTGCTGCGAACGGGACGTAAGTCCCAGAGCCTGCATCCCGCCTGGAAGAGAAGCATGTTTCAGTCGTGGACGAAACCCGACCTCCTGCCCAAATTTCTTCTGCCGAGGCTCCATCGGGTGGTGGATGCCTGCGATGAGGCCACCACGGCCACCTGCCGAAAAGACGTGTCGAGCAGAATCTCGTATTTGTCCTGGTGTGGCGCGAAGTGGATGCTGTGCAGGGAGCTGGCCAACTGCAAATCTGACAGCTCACCACAGGAGCAGGCATAGGCAGCCATCTGTCCAGCCGAAATAACCAAAGAAGCTGCAACCAGAGCCAGGAGACTCGGAAGAGCCAGGAAACCCGCACGTGAGCCGGTGAGGTGATAAATGGCCCTTCCATGCCACAACACATCCGAAAGCCTCAGGTCTCCATTCCGGCCGTCCTCGGACGAGGGATCCCGGAGGGCCTTCGACAAGTCTGCGCGACTGCGACCGGCCAGCACCGCGGTGTTCCAAGGTATCAGCTTCAGGTCGGGGGCCTCTGTTTGTGCAAAATGGTCAGCGTTCACCTGCAGGATCCATCTTTTTATCATTTGCGGTTGGAAACAAACCTTCCAGGCAGCACAAGCGGGCTGCAAAACGCTACTGTAGCCTTCGCAGGCATCCGAGTAAAGCTAGTGAGATGCACATGGCTTTCCCCACTCAAGATCACTTGGAGTTGCACTCTGGATTTGTAGTTTGGGATCATTGACTTCCGGCCTCCAAGAAGTTCAGCTTCTGGTCCAGCTCCTTGGCGGCCTCAGGACATTTATTTCTGCACGAGGTCGTAGGCGCTTGCGGCTTTCGAAGGACGTTATTGGTGCACACAGACTTCCACAACAAAACACTCCAAAAACCTCTTCCCTCGTTGCCGACTCGCCTGGATGGATTTCAGCAGCGCCCAGGCTGAGCCGGCCAGCGCCACCAGCGCAACGACCAGGCCCTGACAAGGGCGTTGGATTTGTCTTCAGGGTGAAGGCCCTTGTCTTCATTGACATTTAGTGAGGCTGCAGCTTCACACTGCACTACACCTTCAGGGAATCTTCTCATTTCATATCCAGCCCTTAGCACTGTGTCTCCTGTAGGCTGGAACTGACCAGGACCAGCACGGCCAGGAGGTACACAGTCCTCGGGCAACTTGAAGCAGGGTTCATTTTGACAGAGAAATGGTTGGCGGAGTTTTCTTGGAACTGCTGACACTGGATTTACAAGAAGAAGCCTTGGAATAGCAGTCTACTTGCTTAAGCTTCTATCTTGAAGGGTCGAGAAAGGTGATCCAGGGGATCCGCGAGTACAAATCCCATCCGAATGGGATTGGGCAGCTGCCTGGGTCTCAGTAGGTTCCTTAACAGCCCAAATAACCCCATATAACCTCAGTGCCCACTTAAGTTTCCATATTTGATTGTTCATGTTGGGGGGCAGTAGTAGCCGTAAACCTAATTCCACTGCTACAGCACATCTGGTCAGCGGCTTGAGCAATCGAAAACAAATGTCACTTCAGCACATTCCATGCCGAGGGCTAGAAATGGGATATCCCCATATACTCCTCATTTTGTTAGGAGCACTAAAGCACATTCCATCATGTCGAGCGCTAGAAACGTGAGACTGTCCCCTTTAAGGCAACCACAAACACTCACGCGTGTGAGAGCTGCTTCTTGCAGAGGAGACTCCTGAGACTTGCACGTTTCTATCCAGAATACAACCAAAAAGTACTAGCCAAAAAAGCAATGCCATTCTTTACTGTACGCAGAGGACTTCCCCAACAGCCATCAGGATGCAAGTGAGAGCAGGAACCCGGAACTCCTTTACAAAGATGGCCCAGAATCATGAGGCGTGCCGCCACGGCCACTGCAAGAAGCGAAGGGAAGGCTGCAACGAACCAAACAGAAGCCACGCATATGTGATAAACTCGCAGTATCCGCCTTAGTAACCCCTATAGAAGTCCCCTATATAATCCCTTCTACAACCCGCTTTAAGAAGTTTAGACTCTAGCTCACATGGAGGTTGGGTCTGAGGTGTAGGGTGCAGGATTCAGGGTTGAGGATGTGTGGTGCAGGGTATGTTATGTGAATGCCCGCCTCACCCCACTTCTTGCAGAAACCCGGCTGATGTATGGATCCGGAACATACGCCAGTCTTTGTTCAGGGCTAAACCTACTTTGACTTTCCCATTGCCAAGCTTCTCCTATTGCCGGAGTGAAGCAAGGAACTTCCCCTGGAGCGCCAAGTACCCCTGTACCTTGAATTCTTGAATCTGCTCCTTGAAGGCTAAAATTTTCCCAAAGCCGTCCCCTCAAAAGTCATCCCGAAATGTACGCTCCCAAGCACACATACACTCACCAAGACCGGTATGGAAGCCCTACCAGCTGTATCACTGCACAGCACATGAATGGGGGAAATCTTGCACCATCTTGGGCCCTCTCCAAACCAGAAATCTATCCCCATACAACGTAAAACTTCAAAAACACAATGCAACCTTGAGTATACGAAACCCTGATATCCTAAAGCCGTACACCCTCATCCCCTTGAACCCTAAGTATGATCCAAAAAGGCCTCAGCTCCCTAAAGTGTAGCTTCGGTCTTCTTTTCCATTATCTCGGAATTATCCCTATATAACCCCATGTATCCCCATTTTACCCCATATATCCCCATATATCCCCACGTAACCCCACGTATCCGCATACATCCCCATATATCCCTATATAAACCTGAAGTATGATCCAAGGGGGCCTCTACTTCACTGGACTTCCGCACGAAGCGCAGAGCTACCATCTGCAGGCCCGCCAGGGACATCATGAAGCCGGCGCTCCAGCCTGGGGTAGGGTTTAGGGTTTTAGGGCTTAGGGTTTAAGGTTCAAGGTTTAGGGCTTAGGGNNTTAGGGTTTAGGGTTTTCGGTTCAGGGCTTAGGGTGATGGGTTTAAGGTTTAGGGCTTAGGGTTTAGGGTTTAGGTTTATAAACCGGCGCTCCAGCCTAGAACTTCCTCGGGTTTCGGTTTAGGTTTTAGGGCTCCCATGATGTTCTTTTGAGCTCTTAAAGGGGCTTAAAGGTCTCGGGGTTCTAAGGGGTTTGCTAAAACTTGGGGGAAAGAGGAAAAGCGGGCAAAAGGAACGATCACAGGGGGTTCTGTGATCACAGGGGGTTCTGTCGGGAGCATTCTTAAAAGGATGACATCGGTATAACACGAGGCTTTTGTAGGTCCAACCTGGGAGTTGCGCGTCCAATACGCTCTGAATTTAGGGCTTGAAGTTTTTAGGCTTTCGGCGGCCCAGGAGTTAAGGATTAGAGTGCTACGGATTAGCATGCATGAGACTATTCAGAGCATATTGGACTGAAAGGCTAATTGCTTCCTGGGTAGTTCTCGGCATTGCGCGGCTTTCTAGGATGCGTCGGAGAATTGCTACTTCGGGCTTACTGTCGGGGCCACAATGTAACAGCTGGGAGTAGTCATATGGGGTTTGCAGGCATCACTTATTTTGGGGTACCTTATAGCATGACCAGAACCATCGTTGATGGAGGAAACCTTGCAGGACTTTAATGCTCTGCTAAAACTCAATACCCCGCATCCCCTTTGTAACATTGGCAGTGACAGTGCGAACGGCCTATTGGGACGAATGACCAAAATCTTGCACCAGCTCAATTTGTTGTAGCCCCGGTGTTCAACAAGGGGTGCAGCATTTGTGCGGTTCATGGTACTATTTGTTAGCATGGGGATGGTGCGACACTTCCTAACTTCCTCCACATCCATGGTAGGACTATTGTCACACGTTGCAACTGGAGCGCTGCGCTCTCTCCCGAAGCATCGGTCGGCAAAACAACAAGACAGAACCCTTCCACCTTCGAGGGTGGAGACACTCGAACGAGGCTGGACATGCCTTACATCATCCTAAACCCTACATGGAGCCCACAAGTAGCTCAGACATTACCTTGACACTGTAACTGTGAAGCCTCTTATGGAATCTGGTCATTGTCAATCTTGTAACTTGAACAAGCAAATTTAGGGTGGGGCTGTGCCCTACTTGGAGGTTTATATGGGTTTATAACTCATCACCTCTAACTGCAGTCAGGAGCTACCGCAAGTTATGGCTGCAAGTATCCTGAGCCTCGTAGCGGGAGAGTTTACACAAAGCACCCAGCTGCCTTCTTCTGGGACAATACAGCCATTAGGTTCCAGGTTTGAGCTCAGAGTTAAGGCGTCTCGGTGTCACCCCAAACCACACCCAACCCTCCTGTTCACACCGGGCAGCTGTAGCTTTGCTTAAAGTTCTGCATCGGCGTCTTGACCTGGGTCTGGTAAAATCCCAAACAGCTCCCGCACATTTCCAGAATCCATGAGAAACAACAACTAAACCCCAAGCCCTAAAACCTTAAACCCGAAAAGAAGAAACCAACGTCGGAAACTCGACACACACAAGCCTTTCGTTGTAACGTTTGTCTCAACAAGGTCACCTCAATGGTCGTCCAGCGTTGCGTCGAGACCTGTGGGTCTGCGACGCTCTGCGCACCGAGCATGGCCTGAATGACGACGGCAAACAGCACGAGGAAAAGCGTGATAACCTCATGCATGGCATACCACCAATGCAACCGACATGTAGTATGGCATTGAACATGATCATAGTACACATGATTTCTTCTACGGGCTGGGTGCCTTGAGCATAGGGCTATCAGGTGCTGGGTTGAGGGGCTCCAGGTTTGTGCTTCTGCGCTGCGGGCTTCACAATCTATACCTTCTGAACAAAAATCATCGCCTTCAGTCCTCAACTTCCTTAACCCTCAAAGTATGTAGAATAATGGCCTTTTGGGCTATACTAAGGGGTTTTGGGCTTAATTTCACCCTACTCTTGGGGGTTCAGGTAAACCTCAACCCCAAATGACTTTGGACCCATTTATCTGATAAAGCAAGCATCCTGCACAAGAATGAGCGAGCGCCAAGAAACAGTGAACACCGTTGGCACTATCACATCTAGCTTCTGCCAAGGCGCTCAACTCTGACTATTACTACTATGTTTGCCTACTCTATAACCATTATAGTTCTTATCCTCCTCGTACCTTCATAACTGTTTTCACGAAGACTTAAGTGCCAATCTTACACGTCCCTGCACCATGGGCCAGGGCACTGTCCACGCCAGGAGCTCCAGCACTTTGTCTGGGCACCGTCGCTGCGCATCTAACCATTTCTGCGAGAGAGCGACAGGTAGCCGTGATGCCAGCTGGTCAAGGGCCTTGAGCGAGGATGGGGTTCAGGGACTTCAGGGGTTATATGGGGAAAATAGAGTATATTGGGGTAATATTGGGATAATGGAAAATAAAATGGAAACTACTATTTAGGGTTTAGGGTTTAGCGTGTAGTCCCCCTTAAGTAGATAGGATATGGGGTATATGGGGATCTTTTTTCAAAATATACCCAAAGCCATATTCAATCTACTGAAGGGGGACTATAAACTTTAGAGGTTGAGAACCGCAGGGCTTGGGGATTGAGGGTCCAGCTTTTAGGATTGCCACAGGCTTTCAGTTCTTTTTCGGTGGTCAGGTCGGTTTCGAAGGAAGTTGCCTGGTGGTGTCTTGGGTACTCAAGAACCACCGCGGGAACACCTGGCAGCAGGTGCGAGCATGCGGGTTCGGAATTTCCGTGGTTGGGGGGGCTTTGCACTTGGTACATCTGGCTTGTTTTGCAAGACCTGTGCCCCAACAGCAGGAGCCAAGCAGCGTTGGGAGCTCTTCCGCCGCTCAGCTTGCAAAGGCATCTTGGTCCCTGACGCCTTGGCGTTCAGGAATGATGGGTTACCTGACTAGGGGTTTAGGGTTTAGAGGTTCAAGTTGAGGCTTTGTGGTTTAGGATTCTGGTCAAGGCGAATCATGCCGTGTTGAGGATATACGGAATCGAGCTGGAGGTTTAAGGTTCCGTGATGGAGGTACGTCTCCAACCTCGGGGCCCTCCATACACTCCGCATACTACCCTGCCCTTACTTTAAAGCCCAAAGGGCTCCGCACGGAACCATGATTCTGAAAAACAACTCTCCTATCCACAGTCTTACGACTTTCACCCATATTAAGAGAACTGATTGTGGGATTTGTCCTTCTTCCTTGCAGCAATCGAAGGTCACGTTAACTTGCAAATCCTGACACTGGATTCGACATGCAGTTGCGTTATGCAATATGAGCTACAGTCTAAACTCCTAGTATCCCTCATAATAACCCCTGGGAGCTCCCCTATGTAATCCCCTATAGAACCCCCTATGAGGCTTTTTTTACTATAGCTGATATGAAGCCGTGGCCCTCCAAGTTTAGGTACGCTTTCTGGGGCTGGGAGCGCTGGGATCCTTAGGGGTGCTGATATAAAGGGGTATAGAAGGATGACACAGGGATTAGGGATGTACAGGGTTATGTTGGGGTTATATGGGGGTTGTATGGGGGTTATCGGTCCCTTGAACATGATGTGGAAAGGCAACGATAGAAATCCTGATCACTGAGCTGTTTTCATTTATCAAGACCAAGCATTTGCAACAATCAAGCCACTACTATTATGCCAGAACAAGATCCCTGACCCAAATGTCCGACTGCCCTCTCAGGTTTCTCCTTGAGCCCTTTACTAGAGCAAATCGTGGACCATCTTGACGGTTCCCCGCGCTCAGGAATTACACCCTAAATCTAAGTCAACCTGCCCTAAATCCTAAACCCGAAGCCCTACGGTGGAGGTATCCCAGGTGGATCTTAAGGAGTACGTACCCCTTCGACAGGATTTTCGAGTTGAGAGCAAGGTGGAACGGCGGGGTTGGGTCACAATCCCCGTAACAAGCACCATGTGATCAAAGATCAGAACCAGCCTCATACCTGATACTACAGACGACATTACTGAAAAGAAACATGTTAATGTTCAGCTTCTTTCTCGGCGTCACCATGATAACACCAACCCTGGTCATCACTACATTAGTGTTCCGATGCCAAACTGCTCGATGGCACAAAGCTTCGCTTGTTTCCCCTGCAAGCTGTTCTCGAAGACGGGCTTCACATAGATGGCTACGAAGGAACTGTTCACCGGATCCTGCCAGCACAGGAAAACCTTGAATGGCTGAAGTGTCCGTCGAAATCTGACAGAGAATACGAAAGTAATGCAGAGGCCATACAAAAACATGTTTGTTTCGAGTGCTCAGAGTATGATGAGACAGCGAGCCAGGAATCCCAGAGGGTTGTGCCATAGTTTTGCACACGCTCATATCGAGTATGCTACAAGGGTCTTCCACAAATAGCACTGGCTGATTTCTTGAAATTGGGGAAAACACGTATAAATTAGGTGGACCCTCACCCTGTAATAGTGGCATAATAGGAATAGAAGAGGACGCGACTAATATCACCATTATGCCTTATTAAGTCACTATTACAGAGTGGGGGGGGGGTTCTGCTAACGCATAACTTTGGATTCTCAACTGATACCTCACACTTTGCGCCGACCTAGGGCTCTCTGACGAACACGTGAACTTCTATCCGCCAAGAATTCGGGGATCTCTTCTTTGTTAAAAGTCCCAGCTTCCAACTGGGCATCTCTCACAATGAAGGCCTTGCGCTCTCTGTACGCGAAAGGTGCAGAAGGGGCATCACTGATTTCTTGATTTACGAGGAACTGAAACTGCCAGGAAAGACCCTGATGAGCAGTAGTTCGCACCACAAGTGACTAGCTTACCGGGGGTTGATGGGAGTCAGGGAATTGAGTAACTATGTATTCCCTGTATAATATAATCCCTGGTTCCCTACAAACCCTTATAAACCCTAAACCCTAAATAGTAATTTCCATGTTCTTTTCCAATATCCCTGTGTAACCCTATATTATACCTTAAACCCCAAACCCTTAACCTCAAACCCTAAACCATATATTGTACCCCAATAGCAGCAGCAACAAAGCGACGCCTCGCCATCGAGCCACGGCACAACAGAGGCGGCAGAATACTTTGCTGGCTCTCGGCCACAGTCAGTGCTCAGGAAATACTCCAGGAACCTGAAGATACTCCCTAAATTAGGGATACTAGGGGATTTATAGGGATCTATAGGGCTATCTAGGATTTGGGATTTGGGGTTTAGGGTTTAGGGATAGGTACTGTTGATACTACTACAAATCCTGCATGACCTTCGTATACTAAAGTACCCTTCTTCCCAAGGTAGACGGTACTCAGGGTCATGCAGGATTTTTAATATCCACCGTAGTTCTGTTGTGGGTTGAGGTTGGCTGGGTCATCGGTCAGGATTCCGAACGGATGGTTGATGTCCCTTGGCAGATGCCTGCAGAAGGTTACATGACATCTAATTGACGGCGTGCATATCAATTTTGCGGTGGGCAACTCTACATCCGAGGCTCTATGAGGTATCAATCACAAGCACTTGACGAAGGCCACAATTGAAAGAAATGCTGCAGCATCTAGCTTCAAAAAGCCAAAACAAGGGAACGCACAACTTACTTAGACCCTCAACCCTGAGCCCTTAACTTTCCCTGAGCTTCAGCGCAGACTCCAGGTTGAATCAAAATCCTCTTCCGGAACAGGCTCCCTGTCTTTTTTGTCTAACCAAAGCTCGCATGGGTAGGCATGGAATTTCATGGCATCATGGCCGTCGCATGAGGAAATGTGTGGACATTCATGCGCACTACCAAAGCTCGTAGCAAGCTTGTTGCCTACGCCCTAGACGCTGAACACAAAATCCGCACATCTGTCCCATAACGTCTTGTTTCGGTTCCCTGTGCTGTAAGGCCAGGGAGCTCATATCGAAGCTGGCTGAGCTTTCGGGCATCTCGACCACCGACTTGGTAGACTCCTGGACGGATGATGCTGCAGCTCTCCAAGAGGCAGTCCTCCGAAGGCCTTAGAACAGTGGTTCCAAGCTCTTGGGGTCTGGGGCTTCAAGGATACTCAAGGATACAAGGCTGTTTCGAAGCAGTCCGGGGTGTAGTAAGTTGTGGAAGTCAGGCTTGAGGGCATTGTCTCAGCATTGCAAGGTTTAAAAAATGTCTGCGCGGGCTTGATACATGACCCCTCTGCCCCCTGGTAAGATTGTACCATATTATGCCATACTGTACTATATTAGACTATATTGCACTTTGGGAAATGCATGCTTCTGGGTTCATAGGCGTAAGCCTGTGTCACATCCCTCTGGCTCACCTGTGACCAACACATCGCCACTCCCAAATGATCCTCTATCAAGCCCTTGAACATGCGTTGCTCTTCTCGGCCCAGGTGCAGTATCCCATCAGAAGACTGGCTGTCTGCACGTAGCGCACAAGCGATATGTGCTAGGAAAGTGGCCCACGCAAAGGCCAGCATAATGCTTCACAGGCACACGGAAGTCTCATATGTGAGCTGCTATGAAAATGAGCCAAACCCGCAGCAAGAGGTGTAAATGTATGGTGCCGCTTCGACCTGCTTCCACATGCTGACACACCAAGCGCAAGTCAAATCCTGCCTCTCAAGAATGTAGGAACTGTAGATAATGATTGGACTTATGAATGATGGAAAAAGAAATTGAAAATACTTCTGCAGGAGTTGAAAGGCCTCCTTTGCCTTGGCTTATAGCTTTCATCTTTCGCGGACCTGGCAGTACACAAACCACAGGTACGTTTACGTACGGTACGCCTCAAACGAGAAGTTGAGATGACACAGCATGCCCGAGATAAGAATTAAGCCGATGATAAGGAAGCCCCATTAAGTCACAAGAAGAGCACCTGCAAAATCTACACCCACAAAGATATTGCGTGCGAGAGGACAGATTCCTCGTTCCCCGTCCAAGTTGGGGACCACGATTTTAGCGTCACTGGAAATGAACATGGGAGTCCTGATGCCTGTCACACTGTCACGACCCAAAAGCAAACCAGCAGAGAAGAAGCTGAATAGGAGAAGTCGCGGGGCGGCGGGCTAGAGCTCAAGTTTGCAGGTTGTATGCCTGCAAGAGCATTCCGCATCGGCATGATTGCTAGCCTCATTTCTACAAGGCATCCTGTGCCTGACATGGTTGAATGGAAGCAAAAGCATCATACCAAGCTGTTGCCGACTGTGGCTTCTTGGGCTTAACTTTTATCCCAATGATTTCCGGAAGATGCTTGGTAGTTTCCCTAGATGCCGGGACCCCAACACAGACTCCAAAATGTTGTGCTCCTTATTATGGGCCTGTTGGGGAGCCCAAGCCTTGGTGCCGGAGCTTCCGGACCCTCAAACAAATTTCTGACTCAGACAGGTGCCTCCAAAGCCTGTTACTTGGCCCCGACTCAACCGCTAAGAACAGTTCTTGTATCAGCTTCCTTGCTCCTTTTGCCATGTAGCTGCCTGGTGCAATTACAAGGTTGTTCTGAAGCCAGCCAGTTCTCAGTTGATTGGCGTTGACCCAAATCCTGACATTATAATCAAGTCTGTAAAACGTGGCACTCTGGTGAGGGGGTCATTGTCCCGCAGCTGAATACGGCGATCTACTTAGCAAACTTCGACCTCATGATCTTTTTGCCTACGCATGCCCAATGTGTTCCCTCCGCGCCATGGGAACCTTGTCGAATGCAACATGGCAATAGCCCTCCTGGCAGACGAGGATATTAAGCGTCGCTGTCACAGATCATGCCGCCATCGCCAAGACTGCCGCCATTCTCTGTTGACCTGCTCAGAAGGCCAGGGCGAGGGGCGGTAAAACAGGGCAAGCACGGGCAAGGACCCACATGGGGAACCACTGACAAGGGACAGGCAACCCTAGGGGACCTACTGCAGCACCTAAACCTAAGTGCCCTGCCACGAAGGCAACAGAAGAAGCCCCCCTCCTCATCTTGGACACGATGAAGTATCCTTCCCAGGTGTTTCTGGAGCATCAACATCTCTGCTTCGGGCAACTTGTTCTTGTCGAGGAACAGTGTCTGCAGAGCCGAAAGGTTTTGGAAAATCTTGACGGGCAGCGCAGAAAGAAGGTTGGCGCCGAGATTCAGGTGCTTCAGCCTGGAGAGATTCTGGAAGGTCTTCTCAGGGAGAAAGTTCAATCTGTTGTGAGACAAAGCCAATGTTTCCAGTCCTGCAACCTGCCGGAAAAGCCCCTCGGGCAGATCAGACAGGCTGTTGTGGCAAAGAGACAAGTTCTTCAGGTGCTGCAAAGTCCTGGGCAGCTGCACCGGCAGCCGCTGCATCTCATCATACTCGATTGACAAGTATTCCATTCTTGTCTCAGAGCTGAAGAGCTCTGTGGGCCATTCCGGAATGATGAAAAACATCACACTCAGCCGTCGCACGCCAGACAATTGATGTGAAAGCTTGGCCCAATGCTGCTTCAAGGGTGTTTTGTGATATTTTGGGCATCGCATGCAGTCGATCAAGATGCTCTGCAGCCCGCTGGCAGCCTGCATCGCAACTGCCACTAAATCCAACTGGGATGCGGCAGTTAATCTGAAGCGAATATCCTTAAGCGATGCAAAGGCTGGCCCCAACAGTGTCAAGTTCATGGCCCTCGGATCCGTCAGTTCCATTCTCCCTGATAGGACAAACTGATGCAGTAAGATCGGCGGCATGGAATTGCTCCAAGCTGCCAGCATGCCAACCAGCCTGGGCAGCTTCTTCAGCTCGGGGAGCCGCCAGACTTCCTCTGCAAGCCGAGACTCGAAGGATCGAAGATTCGAGTTGACTAACTTGACCTGGATCTTCAAAGCGGCTTCACTCTCAAGTCACTCCCTAAGCCCATCCACCTAAAGATAACTCACACATGATCTTAAACAAGCACGCCTGCAGAGTTCGCATGAAGGCCTTCGAGTAGTCGTTGGCCTGAGACACCAGCTGTTTCGCCAAGGTGCTGAGCCCAACCTTAGCTTCATGACCTGCCAAATCAAGCACGCCTGGCCGATTCCCAGAGTAGTACCACGTGTTGTTGATCTTGCAGTACTGGCCCACGCTGTGCAAGCAGGACAAGGTCTTCACAACGCCTTCTGGCGAGAGGAGCGGCAGAAAACCCGTGTTACGTTTAGTCAGCCCGCGTTGCTGCACTTCCGAGCAGAGGGTGCTGTTCCCATGGCCGACTCTCAATAGCTCACATATGGCGTCGGCTGACCGGAAAACGGCCTCCTTGGTCACATCCCCCTCATCCAGCAGACGCAGTCCACGAGTCTGTGCTGCCCAGGCAGCGGGACTGTCCAGGCCTTGAAAACCCAGATTGACGAAGCGTAAGTCTGAAACTGCCCTTTGAGGCCAGGCAACCTCAGGAGTTCGAGTGACTCTTACATGGCAACGTGTGAGCATCTTATCATTTCCATCTTCGCCAACTCGTTACTTTAACACTTACTTTGTGAGGCAGGTCCCGCTCTCGTCCCGCCTGCGGCTTTGCAAACGCGGTGAAGCTGGCAGGCTCTTCGAATCGCCCAGTCCAGGGATCCAAGAATACGGCAACAGGGCGGTCTGGGATCGCACCCTTCGCGCCACAAATATTGTAGCGCTCCTGCAGAAAAGCACTCCGATGGCAGCGTGTCCCAGCGGCAATGCGCGCTACGGCTTCTTCGCTGGCGTGGTGTCCAACTCCCCAAACCACTTGGAAAGCCTCGGCTCCATGCAGCAGCCTCACAAGAATATCCTCTTGTCACCGGGACCGTGAACACTGCAGCCAAACAGAAAATCGATTCCTGTTCACAGCGAAATCTAGAAATCACAGGCCTGCACATGAATCCTGGTTCAAAGCCTAGCCGCATGATCAGGAAGCAGAGGCATCACGACAAGCTGAAGCTTCATAAACTTTGTAGGCTGATATGGTGCAACGTTGACGACAATATTGCCCTGGCGGTCGGCAGAGAAGTTGCCCTCCAGCAGTGTGACGTTGCCATCTGCCGATTCTCCCAGCACAAGGCCAAGGACATCATTGGCATCCGGTAAGCCTAGGTGGGGCAAATCTTCAAGGACCGTTGAAAGCAGGACACCTCTACTCCATGCCTCTGGTATACAGTGCACAGGAGACCCCTGTTGTTACCACTGCCACCCAAGACGCCACGGTGCAGCTGGATGGAGCCGGCCTCCGACTGGAAGATCTGCTCCCCAACCTACACAGAAAGGCCGCTTCATGCCACTTCCAGTCAAATTGAACCCCGAACCCCCGAACCTCCAGGACCAGCGAGAAGCTCAGGGTCGCAGCTCTGCCGCGCCAGTCGGGCTTCACACCACGGAACCGGAGCCTTCCCTCGGAGAGGTCCGTCCTGGGACACTCGCCCTGGCCAGTGCCGGTGTCTCGACAGCCAAAGAGGTGCCCAGACAGCTTGCGGTGGACAGCCGACGGCGGAGGCCCGGATGCCGCCGGCTTCGTCAGGTTGCCCCTGATGAAGAAGCAACCGAAGTCGCTGAAGAAGAAGTCGAAACAGGTGGGGCTGTGCTGGCACTTGGTGGAGCAGTATGTGCTGTTCCCATCAGCCCGCTTGAAGTCCGTCCACAACATTCGCTCGCCCTCATCCCCTGCTTGGACGGGGAAATCCAAAAAGAAGTCTGAGAGGCTCACGGACACGTCGAAGTTATACAAGCCTGGCATCTTGAGGAGTCTTTATGCTCTAGGGCTTCTTCACAAATCAACATCCCATCATGTGAGTCCCAGACCTGCCCCAAGATCTTCGTCTTGCTTTTTGCATTTAGCTATGTTTAGCTCCCACCTGCCCTGCCTTCTGGCACGCTGACGGTGGACCCCGGAAGGGTCGACCAGGCCACGTTCCGCTTGAACTCCCCAGACTCAATTTCCACTGACGTGGGCACCGTGGTCAGCGGAGTGAAGCGGACCTGCACAGCTACACGGGCATGCCTCAGCCTACCAGAAACGCTTGTGCCATACTGGGCCATACTGCTTAAATATAAATACAAATACATCTGTATATATATATATATATGCGTGTGAGGGTGTGAGGTTGAGCAGTCGCCCTCTGGCATTACGTAGCTTTTTTTGGGCCGGGGGGGGCGCGGGCCTCGCCTGGTAGGACGTGGGATCCAGGGATGGTCTCAAGCCCTGCACGTCCACGCGTGCCACACGAGGGACGTGGCGCTGGTCGAGATGCATCTCTACCACAGGGGAGCTGGAGCCTTCGCCGACAAACACTTGCCGCGGGTTGTCTTCTGACGCCACGGGCTGCTTGAAGTTGATCCTGCGTGGGGAGCCTACAAAACACAAGGCACCAGACAAACCTCCGGACCCAGACAATTTCCACCTCCTGACGTCTTGCTATACAAGAACAAGCCGCTTATGCCATGGATGAAAAAAGCAGTACACAAGGATTTGGGAAATGGCGGCCTGGCAAAACCTCTATCATACAGCAGGAATTGAATTTCTTCTGCCGAGGCTCCATCGAGTGCTGGATGCCTGCGATGAGGCCACCACGGCCACCTGCCGAAAGGACGTGTCGAGCAGGATCTCGTATTTGTCCTGGTGTGGCGCAAAGTGGATGGTGTGCAGGGAGCTGGCCAACTGCAAATCTGACAGCTCACCACAGGAGCAGGCATAGGCAGCCATCTGTCCAGCCGAGATGACCAAAGAAGCTGCAACCAGAGCCAGGAGACTCGGAAGAGCCAGGAAACCCGCATGGGAGCCGGTGAGGTGATAAATGGCCCTTCCATGCCACAACACGTCCGAAAGCCTCAGGTCTCCATTCCGGCCGTCCTCGGACGGGGGATCGCAGAGGGCCTTCGACAAGTCCGCGCGACTGCGACCGGCCAGCACCGCGGTTTTCCAAGGTATCAGCTTCAGGTCGGGGGCCTCCGTCTTTGCAAAATGGTCGGCCTGCACCTGCAGGATCTTGGAGATTCGAGAAAGAAGGAGGCATCTCAGAAGGTCATATTCCATGCCGATAAAAAAGGCACAAAATCCAGCAGGCAGGCGCTATCGCGCACCTATTTGAGAAGGGCACGGGATTCCAGGCTGTGGCTTCAGGCCTCCAAGAGGTTCAGCTTCTCGTCCAACTCCTTCACGGCCTGACGTACATGGTTTCACTGCAAGCATGCTTGCACAAATCTGTATCATAGCTCAGGGAACCTTGCAGACCGTCTGTGAGAGATTCATTCTGTCCAGGGCCCGTGGGAACTCTTTCGAGCTCGTATTTAAGGTTCCGTTCTCATTCATTCTCGTGCCCCTGCCACTGAAAACACCACAACAATTTCAGTTGGAGCGACCTTTTGGAAAAAAAAACATACTGCAGTGTTTGAAGCTGTGACCCACCCCCAGACCTCTCAAGGTGGCCAGCTACCAGCCCTCTCTTGTAGGTACTTTGCCTGGATGGACTTCAGCAGTGCCCAGGCAGAGCCTCCCAGCGCAACCAGGGCCACGGCAAGACCCTGCGGAGGGCTGCAAGCTTGTCTTCAGGGCTTTCCCAGTTTAGCTGATTTGCGTCGATAAGGCATGCGGTTTGAGATTTGTGTGGTCTGTTTTGGTTTAATGATTGGGGTTGAAACTTTGCAAAATGAAGATGGTGAAGGGTAAGCGGCTGAAGCTTTGATTTGGTGGGAGAATAGGGGCGTCACCGACTTCGCCGCACTCTTTGGAGTGGTTCTTCTTTCTACCGACTGCCTTCCCCAGAAGCCGCAACTTCTCATACCGACCGAGACCTAGTATACCCCAATATACCAGTAACATGCCCCGAATATTCCCCTAATACACGGTGTATAACCATAGAGAAGACCTATACATCCTGGAAGCTCCTGCAAGCTCGAGCTGACAAGGACCAGCACGGCCAAGAGATACAGCATCCTCGAGCAATCTGAAATGGGACGAACATGGTTTGAATGCATGTGCGGTTTAAGGTGCGGAATTTGCTTGTACGCGGAAAAGGATGAGTTTTGCACCGACTTAGATGTACTGGGTGCAAGTCCAGGGTGCCAAATACCCAGAACTCTACCTACCTAGACAATCCGCCAAATGCACTGCGAATCCACTTGGCATCTACCGTAATAGCGCCGGTTCGACCCATTCTGCATGGTGGAAGCTGGTTAGCGACTTATGCCAGCGAAAACAAAGCTGCCACATAACATGAATATCAGCAAGTCATATGCCAGAGATCCTATGTCAGGAACGAATCCCCAAAAGCTCCCGCTGCAATTTGACTTATGTAGGAACATGGCGAGCGCAGCCAAGCGTCAGCATGATAAGCAGCGCAAGGTCCAAGAGAGAGGAATCCAGCGGCTTTGTCAACACCAAGCTGTGCTCCAAACATGCATGAGCCAGCTGTTTCTTGCAGAGCAGATTCCTGCGGTCTTGGACATTTTGGAACATACATGCGGGTTCTCCAAAATTAGGGTCCCTTTTTGGGGGCCCCCGTATGAAGGATTATAGTATATTAGGGTCTATCTTGGGGTCCCCCCATTTTGGGAAACTACCACATGCACCCCAAGACATATCATCCTTATCAGAGCCACAACAAGGACCCTCAAGAGACGTCACAATTTCGGCTCAGAACCAAATCTCTTTCCAGAATGGCCCAGGTTCATGAGGCGTGCTGCCACGGCCACTGCAAGGAAAGAAGGGAAGGCAGCGACAAACCAAACTGACACCTCGCACCAAGATGAAACCTCCCTCCACTTTCAGAACAAGCATTCTTGAAAGGGCACAGCAGTCGAGCAACGGGCTTTGCATCTGGGAGCCCCGAAATGCAGGCTAAAATTGGCGAAAAAGCCTGCGAGTCTGTTAGTTGCCAGGGTTGAGGCCCTTTGTTCAGCTTCAGAGGATGTTCTTTTCAAAGACCGGCAAAACCCCGGCTCTCCAGAAGCCTATGTTCGATGCTGAAGCGCTTCGATGCTGTGAAGCGGGTCTGGGCTCAAGAAAGAGCACAAACTTATTCTCAGCTGTGGATACTCAAACTGGGATGATAATACATCTTTCTACTGGGAAGACTGCAGATACTGCACCTACTACACTTCCTGCGTCACGTCGTTCATGCCGACTCTTATGCTCTTTGCAAAGGTGGAGGAAGAAGCCCTAAAACCAAGGATCCAGTCTTTGGACACTAGTAGGTCTTAAGCCTGACTTCTTGCACCTGTACTTATATAGGGTCAAGCCTGACTAGATGCTGCTGCAGGATATTTAGATTTGGGCATAGGCTTTGGAGTTCAGCTAGGGCTTGAACTTCATGAAGGGCTGGCTTTGTGAAGGGCTTCGGCTTTAAGAGACTTCCAGGGTTGAAGAAGGGGCCTCCACTTCACTGGACTTCCGCACGAAGAGCAGGGCTCCCATCTGCAAGCCGGCCAAGGACATCACAAAGCCGGCGCTCCAACCTTCGATTAAGGGGTTTAGGAGCTCAATGGGGCTTAGGACTTCAGGCTTTAGGGCTGAGTCCTTTCAGGCCTGGACTCATGCAAGGGGTCTGGGAGTTCAAGCTCCAAGCTTGGGGTTTGCGACAGCAATGGATGTAACAACTTGTTCGCGAAAGCAAGGCCTCCCATAGAAGCCCCAAAGGGGACCACCTCATAATAATTTGAGGAACCCAGAAACGGAACCCCACGCTTGGAGAAATCCATGTTCCGCAGCTTGTCCTGCACTCCTACAAGGCTGCACATCTTTGATGCCAGCATTTTCCCAAAGTACTCAGCAGCTGCCGCACATGCCCAGAACGGTTTAGGGTTGTAGGGGCTTCAGGCGTAGTACCCAAAACGCTCTACCAGCATACACGATGTCAAGAGCACAGCGCACACGTTTGGCAGATGTTTGTCTGGTTCCTGAATTTTGGAAAATAGTTTGGGAAGCATATGCCCGCCGTTTATGCTGAGAAAGAACTATCTATTCAGCATCGTCGCAAGGTCGGGGGTCTGTCACCGCCTGGGCACAAAGCCCGAACAGGAATCCACACAAGCAACGCTGATTCCCAACGCCGGGTTGCCAAGCCTCCCTACCGGGCCTGGTACAACACTTGTTGCTACTTTGCCACCCCTTCATCCTAGTATTATTCTTTCAGCCTGTCCTTTTACTTCTCATATTACTGCTGTTGGAAAAAGGAGTCTGAAACGCAATGCGAAGATTCCCCAGAACCACAGCCCATCGGAACCCACTCCCGCCAGCTTTCTACAACCCTCTGGAACAGTCCGGGCAGCTGTAGCTTGCCTTAAAGTTCTCCATAGGCGTCTTAATTTTGATCGTTGTCCACCGGTGTGTTGAGATTTGTGGGTCCGCAGCACTCCGCGCACCAAGCAAGGCATGGACGGTGACTACCAACACTGCAAGGAGAAGGATGATGACCTCACGCACTCACAACAGCGAAGTGGCAGAAGAGATGGCAACGCTAGTGGTGCTAACAATACTGAAGCTGGTGACTCGTGACAATGTAAGAAGGAAAACTGGATGGATCTGCAGTTGAGGCAGTAGTGGCAAGCGAAATACCCAATCGGAGGTTAGTAGGGAATGAAAACTGGAAGATAGGGATGATTGTTGGGACTCTGTAGACACCACATGACACCATCATAGGGATCTACTCCTCTGTTATTCCCCGCTAACCCCCAAAAAAGCCAAAGCATAAACCTCAGCTAGATAAATGCGACAAGCATGAACGTACTCGCAGCGTGTCACTGAAGGTGCTCAGGTGCCCTGGAGTTATTCGGGGCAGTGGCCTGAAGAACTAGGGAGTACGCTTTTGGAGCAAATCATCTTGTGTATCAGGCCGCACATATCACTACGTAAGGACTATAATGGGACGGGCTCTTGGATCTACCACTGTTGTACAACTTTCAGACTAGTCCCCTTGCACTTCGCACTTCAATACTGTGAGCACGAATGCAACGCTACGATCGATTGCGAAGAAGAAGCCGTAGTTCTGCCACGTTAATGGTGTCGCAGTTGCTATCTTGGACCCCTCCTTCGTATCCCTGCCAGTTACTGTACACCAGACAAAGCACTTCGAGAACCCTCATGACTGCTAGCTCAATCGTTTAGCTTTTCAGCATCGCTGATAGGCCGAGATGCCGTCCACGCGAGCACATCCAGCACTTTGTCTGGACACCGACGCTGCGCATCCAGCCACTTCTGGGACACTGCTTCGGGTAGCCGGGATGCCAGCCGGTCAAAGGCCTTGCCCGACGGATTAGGGCTTCAGGGTTTGGGGCTGGTAGGAATTTGTTCAGAAGCAATAGTTTTGGCACTGGCTTAGCGCCGAGGATTGACATTGTAAGGCCATGGTAGAGACTGCGATGCTTCGACCTTGTCCACTACTTAGTGTCAGGCACTTGCTCAATTTGCCTAAGGGCAGACGACCTGCTCGTGGATTGGCATCTTAGCAGTCTTAGCTTCGACAGGATGCACGAAGAAAGAGAATCCGAACTGTGCAGACCTTAACACCTGATTCAGTCAGAGGTATGCCCATGCAACGGGCCCCTCGACATTTCCAACAGCTGCAGGGCCAACTACAGATGAATCAACCGGAGATTCACAAAGAAGCATCGTCGACTTTCTGGATTAGCCTGCTTGGGAAGCACATCAGACATGAATTTGGGAACTCCCTGGCTGCAGGAACCCACATAATCGCCAATACGATTCCCTTCTTAAAATCCCCAAAATAACTACATTATAGCGTGCCCCGAAAGGCCCAGAACACTCTGCTGACTATTGAGGCCCAGATATACCATTCCTATAAATCCGGTAAAAACTGAGTTGCCATGCCATGTTCCATGTTGTTCTAATTCAGCAAACCCTAAGCCCTAAACATATTGTGCAAGTAGGCCCCTACCGCATCTAAGGTCTCCAAAGCCACTTGGAGCTCTGAACTCAACTGCCGCAGGGCCTGAGCAGCCCCCCCGAATCATCAAAAGAAAGCATTTAAGAGAATAGTCTTTAAGTGGTATCTAACAAGATGAGATAAACTTTTGTATATACTGGGACCAGAGCATCCCCACAAAAGCTCTACCTAGCTACGCCTACGCGGCAAACAGAGGTAAACCCAAATGCAGATCTCTTGGTACGGCTCGAAGACAAGAAATCCCCATGTCATAGAAGACAACTTTCTGCCGAGCTCGTGGAACACCACTCCTTGCAGGCATGCTTTTGCCTCAACTCTCCCGCCAAGCGGCATTGGGAGTTCTTTGGCCAATGAGCGGACAAAGACATCTTTGTGAGTCCGTCCTTGGCCAACAGTGCACTCGCACGGGGCTGGGGACCGGGAGGCGAACAGGACGAATTAACTACGGGGCGTTCATGGACTCGAGTGCACTGCGTCGGAATGCGGAGCTGTGATAGGGCCGAGAGCGAAGGATCAGAGCGCGAGATGCGTTACTGGAAGAGTTGCGAGTGACTTGACGGCCTGCGCAGCAAACTTCTCAAGCCCAGAAACAGCCCCTAAAGCTCACTGAAGATGGGGATAAAGGAAGAGTTGCTTCGCGATGAATAATTCATGTTATAATACTCATAAAGCCATATGAAGGAAGCGAAGGTATCTCAAGATCTGCCTGCCTCAGGTCCTTTTGTTCAACCGTTCGGGCTGAGATCACACGATCTGCTGCTGTTTTTGAAACAGCCCACCAAATACGTCTAATTCCATGTTGAGATCTGGATTTCTTATTACTCTTGCCAGAGTTGGCAAGCGGCTCAGCGGCACAAAGTTTCGCGGCTTCCCCTTGCAAGCTCTTCTCGAAGAGGGGGTTCACGTAGATGGCTACAAAAGACTTGTTCACCGGATCCTGCCAGCACAGGATAGTACTATTACTATTAGTACTATTAATACTACTGGTGCTACTATTACTATTACTACTACTATTACTATTATTACTATTATTACTATTATTACTATTATTACTATTATTACTATTATCACTATTATTACTATTATTATTA